GCATTCGATAAGAGCTATGTCCACACAAAATTAGAAGTCTCTAGCTATCATGGTTCTTGAGTTACAGGGATGGTCGGTACTTTTGACAAGTACTGTATCTAAATAGCCTATAAAATGTGAACCTGCACAAACAGTAAATATCTGAATATCTAAATAGCCTATTAAATGTCAACCTGGACCAAGTGTAAATATAAAAATGTCTAAATATCTAACTAGCCGATAAAATGGGAGCCTGCACAAACGGTAAAAATGTAAATATCTGAGTATCTAACTAGCCTATAAAATGTGAACCTGGACAAACTGTAAATATCTAAATACTTGAACGTGGTTCATATAAAACGTGAAGCGTGGTTAGTCTGGAGGTTACTCTGCAAAATTATGCAAGTCCCAGGTCTCCAGCTATTTCTAACATGGCTTACTTTCCTCGAGCGCGTGTCTATCTCCGAGCCGACATCTCTGAGAATTGCGAAATCCCATGGAATATAGGTAATCGACGACGCAAAGCATAGGGGCAACATTTGTTTTTGTGTAGAAGTGAAGGCAACTTAGACAGAGGGATTTTTGTGAAAAAGCGGTTTATCAGTAAAAGTTAAAATACTTATATCTCGGTCATATGTCATGCTGACTCAAGGATGTTTTCAGGAAAGACTTAAAAGGCGTCATATTGCGTCAAACTGGACATCAATTGAGCAGCTTATACGACAAAAGCCTGTGTGTACTTTACAATTGCTGTTAAGTTGTAAAGCTGACATAAATGAAAATAATTTCATAGTGGGTGCTGTCTTGTTATATAAATAATTCTATGAAAATATAAAATTCATTCGTTTCTCAGTTTCTTGTCATATCTATCTATATACGCGTACAGAAGAAAAATGATCAAAAAGAAAGAAAACATGACATCAAGCAAGAAAGTGAGAAAAGAAATTTTACATTTTTCAGTAAATGTTTACTGCACTTACTACGTTCCGTCAACTTTACAATCTAAAATAAAATTAGCTAGAATGTACCACTCTCGCACTTTTATATCAGTTTGAAGTACCCAAGTTGCTTAGGAAAAAATTTGCAAAATTCTCGCAAAAGCTGCATTTCGATGCGATCTGCAGAGGACTAGGTTAACATTCCAGAAATAATAGCTCTAAGTCTTTCTTTATATCCCAAAATATAAAGGATAAAAACTGAAAAACTGTTATCTGAGTTAGAGGGTTACTCGAGTTTTTTGGTGAGTTTTAGCATAGCCGCCTTTTGTGCTGGAAAAACGCATTTAAGGAGAACTTCTGCTACACGAAAAGAAAGACACCACTTCGCAGTATCAGAACATACATTTTGATTATAGTTTGATAGATGGTACCGTGTTCAAATAATTTATTTTTCGTTCTGTGTTGGGTAATCCGGATTGATGCTTTGCAGTATTGCTTGTTAAATTCAAAATAGACTTTATTAAAGCAGAGTGACTCAATATAGACTCAATATACTGCTAGGCTATATTGATGAAAAACCTGTGTGTATGAACACTAAACAATAATACAGAAAAACTTATTGTTAAACGAAGCTGATGCCCAAGCATAAAAAAAACAGTATCACCCGATTCCTCTAGATTACTAGACTTTTACTTGATTGCAATTATTTGGTAACGACCATAGAAATCTACTGATCGGACGATGGCTAGATTTCTCCTAACTAGCAACTATACTCTTGAAAATTATTCTCATCATCCAGCGAGTGCAGTACTCATACTATTAATTGTAGTGGTTGATATAATCGCCGTGGTTAGATCTCCGAATCCACACAGGATGGTTGCCGAATCTACACACAAACGAAGAACAACTAAATGTAAATTTATACCAATTATGAAGCAGCTCTCTTATTACCTATTTCATCCTGGTACACATCTAGTGAGATTGGTAATACAAAATATGTTGATGGGAAAGTATAATCAATGATTGTTCCGTTTAAATAATCGGTACGCATTCGTAATATATACGATAAAACATTCGCAATCATCGTTAGCGTTTCATTTAGCCTTTGTATACGACAATGACCAGCAAAACAATCACCGACAAATACGACGATGCTCATGTCTGTAGGAAAGTACCGCAAAAGCACTCGTAAAACAAACAAAATGAAGACTTGAAAGAAACTCTTACCCATAGTAAATACGTCGATCTGTGGTGTTATAAAAACTTCAGATATTTTTATTCGCTTTGGATTAACGCCGGATTGATTCGCAATCTATTAAAAAGCAAAGTTATGGTCGACGAGTGTAATCTGAATCAACTTCGTATGAGTCTGTCCCTCAGTCAGCGACATAAAAGCACATTTTTCTCCAGTTTTCGTGAAACTTGAAGTTCATATAAAACCGTGTGATATTAGAGGACGTTTAATAGACCTAGCACTGAAAAAATTTTAATACTTGCTTGTTCAGCTAGAATAGCACGATTATATTTAGTATTATATCCATAGTACCAATAGTCTTTTTGATCACTAGTATTCATATGATCTAACAGATACATACTGATACAATACGTTAAATCTATAAATCAATTATCAAAAGACCATGTAATTAGTTTTTTCTATGATATTCACTTTGTGGAGTAAACGGTATATCTTGTCCATATTTTGGCGAAACTGCAGGTATTACTGAGACAACAACCATTACTGGCACGACAACCACTGCACTCGTCATACAACATCCATAAGCACCCGTATGTGTTTTTATATAATTTATCATATGCTGTATCCTTGGTGTAGAAAAAAAACTAAAATAGAATAGGTCTACGAACTGGTTGTTTAACTTACAATCCAGCTGGTGGTTTAGGTGGACTGAATCTTCGCCAATGGCTGCCCTTTTTTTGACTAAACATCTGAACAGGAGGTAACCACTTGTGTAATAATAAGTTAATGAGAAGGAAAAAAAGCAATCAAATGTTATCTTAAATGTGTATTTTATGCTAGTAGCTGACCTTCGGAGGCTATAACATATAAATGATGTTGTCTTTTTCCTTCCTTTCAAAGGTAGAGGAAAAATTATGATGTATTTTTAATTTCCTTGACGTTAGCAAAAGTCATACAAAGAAAAATGTGTTGTCCACACAGAGAAACTCAAAGCGCAATAGTTCTTGAGAGAAGCGGTGTAGACAGCTGAAGTCTATGAACTATAGATAATCCAACATAGAGAATGTGATGGCACTATGACATGCTTTTCAGGAGATATGTAGAAGGCTCTAATCTTACGATTTTGTAGACTATTAGATATGTTTTGGGGTAAACTGAAGAGTGAACACGAGGTGTTCGCCATTAATCTCGTGTTGTATTAAACGACAAGCTTTTTTCACCTGCACTAGATGAAAATGATACAGAACATATAGTCGGTTATAAGAGACGGGTTTCCGAGGGCTAGGGGGTCTACAGGAAAGTTTTGGACTTTTTATCGAGTCCGGCGTTGTTCTGCGTAAGAAACACCGTATAAACCGGATGGTACAGTATCGGGTTAGTGCATCCAGAAAACTGTCGAGTTCTCCGTCTGAGTTACGAGATGCCTGAATTCTAAATCCAGAGATTCTGTATATGGTTCCGCTAGATTTCATTGGATTCCATTCGATTCCATTCGATTCCTTTGGATGCCACTAGATTCCTTTGGATTCCAGGATTCCATTGGTTTCTGTGAGATTCTATGAGATTCCGTTGGATTCCATTAGATTCCGGGAGATTCCGTGGGATTCCAGGATTTAGCGCTTTCCCCTTGCTCAGATGTCTACTTTCGATTACTGAAAACCACAAATCTCTAGCTTTCTTCTGTCAAAAGTTGTTCGGAAAAGAGCAACCTGCATTGTATTTTGGCGCGAATAATAACTACGTTTTCATTAATTATCCAATTAGCTGACTGATTAACTGTAGTTTGTTCCTAGTTAATAAGAGTAAACCATTCCGTCAGCTATTCACGTTAGAATAAGTGTTCCAGAAAGGTAACTCAAACCCGAAACTAAAATAAATGAAGGATGGTCATGTCCTACTTTGCTGTAAAAGCCATTGTGATATGGGAAGAGCGACGAGTCATCACACGTATATAGTTAGACGCAGCTTAGAAAAACGAGTCGATTGGTATATAATAAATCTAAATTCGATCAAGTTTTCATGGAGATACGTTGAGTTTAATCTCAGTGCACATGATTTTTCCGAAAAATGTCAGTGCACATTGCGTTGTAATTTTTGGATTTTTCAGGAACGGTACAGGATTTTGAGCTTATTTGTTTATGCCACATGTAAATTCTAGATGTCGAAAAAGCGTAAAAGTTTCTAAGCAAACGAATTTATTTTGCAGGAATTATGAGGGAAACAAAAGTGAAAAATGTCAGTGTACAAATTGTGTGAAAGTCGAACTTTTCTCCAGAAGATTGTTTGGTCCTACGCTAACTGATAAAACTAGAGAAAATTTCTAGCATAAATAGTTACTGAGATAAATCAACATTTATGCCAGTGCACAGAAAAACCGAAAAGTATCTGTTATCACAGTACTTTTAGTATTTCATCGACATAATTTCGATTAATTTCAATTCCAAGCACATATTTAAATAGCCCAAGAATTCTGCTACGAATTCATTTAAAACTCCTGTTTGAAGTGTTTGAAAAATTTAAGACTTAGTTAAAATTAATCGAATAGTTCTTGACATGTGTAACTTGATATGCTCTATAAAATGGCTGATGTGAAAATCCCAAATGCGATTGAAAAATTTCATGGTCTGGTTTTCCAGAAACCTCACTTGGTTTTCTAGGGGATTTTAAAAGGTCCCAAAAATCCCACCATGATTCATGATAGTACACTTCGTGTACTCCAACAATATCGTAGTGGGCGAGAAATTCGCTCGGCTTTTCGGGAAAAAACCGTTTGCCAAAATGGCCGGATCGATGATTTGGGCTCTCACGGGATCATCTACTGTAAAAGAACGAAAGCATATCTGGAGCTCGCGGTTGTGTGAATTTGTAGTAGACACTACCTAGTAGTTATGATAGAATTCTTAAGTCTAAGTAATGTGTCGTTATGGAGTTGTACGTAGTTTACATTGACAGCTTCCTTAGATGGCGGAATTTGTGCATTTTCGGGCTCTTTGCAAAAAATGCATATCTCAGCAACGCAACAACTTCAGGATCTGCGCTTTTCGCCGAAATTTATGACAACGTTTGCTTTAAAGAAGTCCACTATGTTGGAAGAAATCTGAGATGGTGGATTAAGCACATTAGGGCGTGGCTTATCTTTAATTGATATCATATATAGAATTATTTGAGGGTTTGAAATAAAGCATTATTGTGTAAACTTTGAATTATATAAAATTAGATGCCGTTCTACGCTTCGTATCGAGTTATCAAAATCTAATTATTTAAATAAAACTCGTTTTATTGGAAGTATCAGAACTGTGTAACGGGTGGTTCAGATTAAGGGGGCCGGGTGGGAGGGGGTCCACGCCCCCTATATATGCTCTCAAACTATGTCAGTTTGAAGAGGACACCTGATTGCATATATCCTTCAGTTTTCTCGATGAACTGATAATTATTTAGCTCGTGATCCAAGATGGGGAAGAATTGCGGAAGGTTCGGGTGAAGATGCGTATCTAGGATCACAAATAGCCAAAGTAATGGTCAAAGGTTATCAAGGAAATGATTTGGCAAAAAATAACACCATTATGGCTTGTGTGAAACATTTTGCACTGTACGGTGCCGTTGAAGGTGGACGTGAATATAATACCGTTGATATGAGTCGTATACGCATGTACCAGGACTATTTACCGTATGTATTCATTTATTTTACATTGTTGCGATCCACTCAAAAGTTGACTCGCTCTATTTTATTTCTCGTAGATCATCAGTAGAGCTTATAGAACTATCAGAAAAAAACGGCAGGTTTCGGTTTAAAAACTGATTTTCATAGAGAAAATTGAGAATGTTAAAAATGAAGAAAACGGTGCAGAAAACAGTAAAATTCTCGAAAATAAGTAAAATACTTTTCTTTGCCCTTACTTTAAAAATCCAAGATTAGTTTATTCTGATTCATTACGCAAATCACTGCAGAAAACTACAAAAACCTAAATGTAGACATTTTTAAAAGCTAAACTGACCTCGAAATTTGTCGCTAGCACTTCACGATGTTTTGTTGGCAATAATCGATTGCTTTCTTCTTATGTGCATCTATTCAGCCAAACGACGATGCTTACTAGTAAATATTTCAATAACGAAACAAAGTGAAGCGCCTGGCAACGTTTCATTTTGTATGAAATATATAGTTCAATCGATCTGGATAGTTTTTAAACGTTTTGGAGGAGCAAACAGGTTTGCATGGTTTTCTGAAAAGTACCTTCTAAAGTCTTGTGGAGCTCTTGATTTTCTAATTGCATAGAATTTAAATGTTCTACTTATGTATCTGCCGACTTTCGAGGTCATTTTAGCTTTTTAAAACGTCTACGTTAAGTTTTTACAGTTTTCTACACTGATTTGCTTGACGAGTCAGAATAAACTAACCTTGAACTTTTAAAGTAAGAGGTAAAGGAAATTAGTTTACTTATTTTCGAGAATGCTGACTGTTTTCTACGCCGTTTCATTCATTTTCAACTTTTCTCTTTGAGGATCATTTTTAAAAGCTTTTCTCGATAGTTGTATAAGCTGTAAATATCTTTCAGACTGCGTCTAAGAGTCCTAGCAAGCAGATAGATACTGCTCAGTCCAAAATTTCATGGATATCGGACTGTGACTAATTGACAGTTTTACTGCTCAGCAAAAGAACTGTCAATTAACCGCAGTTAACCGAGCATTTTGTGCCGGTTCACGGTTAATCGGACGGTAAAGCGCACACTTGACAGAATTTAACTCCGATTTCATTGTCACAGATAATAGCCACTGTATATGACAATGAAATCAGAGTTAAATTCTTTTCAAATACTTTTGATAGATGAAAAAGCTAATATACCAACTTCTTTTCATTCAATCAATATATCATTAAACATCATCTATCAATAGTTATGATTATGGTATCTTTTAGGCCGTATCACGCAGCTGTCGATGCGGGAGTTGG